ACCGCGGGGAGCCCCGGGTCTTCATCGCCAACCACATCACCCACTTCGACCACAACGTTCTCCACCTGCTCGCCTCCTGCAGCGCGGTGAGTAGAGGTGGCGGCCGCGGGGGGGGGGGGCGACTCCCAGCCCCCCCCCCCCCCCCCCGGCGCNGACCAACGGGATCCCTCCTTTCCCAAAGAAAATGGGACTCAAAAGAACAGAAAGGCCCAGGATCTGCTCTTACCATTTAGGGTTGGTTTTGCTCATTAACGCCATGAGTCCACAGCGCCACGCTCTTGGGCTTGGGCAGACTGTTGGCCGTGGTATCTATAAGGAGTTTTTTGAGCCGAAGGAAAGGTGGTTGAAAACAACTCCTTCCTACCAGGAGTCCAGCCTGGCCAAGCTTGGGAGCAGATTCAGAAAGGGCCGTGGCACGAGGCCTCCCGGCTTCAGTGGGAGGTTTCTGGGAGCCAGTCCTGGTCCCTGTGGCTTGGGGTGCCTTGGGGGGGGTGAACTCCCTTTCTCACTGGTCTTTCCATCCCACAGCCCGCGCTGAATGGCTCCTCAGGCTTCATCTGCTGGTCGCGGGGCTTCTTGGAGGTAGGGGGTGCTGAGAGCCGAGGAGAGCTGCTGGAATCGCTGAAGGCTTACTCAGCCCAGGGAGACACCCCACCTCTGCTACTGTTCCCAGAGGAGACCACTACCAATGGCCGGGTGGGCCTCCTGCGTTTCAGGTAAGACCTGGCCGAGGGGTGCCTGGGCAGGGCCTGCGGTTTGCCGCCACTGCTGGTGACGGTGGGGCAGGGGGAGGGCAGGGCCCCCTCCCTAGCTCGTGGCCTGACTGCATTGTTCTTTTGTAGCACGTGGCCATTCTCCATCTTAGATGCTGTCCACCCAGTGGCGCTACAGGTACAGAGGCCCTTCGTTGCTGTGGTGAGTCTACGTTCGGGGAGGGGTGCCAGTTGACCTAGATGGCTTTTGGATGTGGCCCCAGCCCCCATCCTTGTGGGTAGCTTTGAGGGGGTTCCCTTGGGGGCAGAAGGCAGCCTCCCTCGTCCCTCTTGGGACTCAGGGCAGGATTTGCACCTGCACCAGCTTTGTGACATTTCTCTCTCTTGCTTCCTTCCTCCTCCCCCATCCCCCACTTCACCACCAAGAGCGTGGCTGACGCCTCCTGGGTGACAGAGCTGCTCTGGACCTTTTTTGTCCCCTTCACCATTTATCAAGTAAGGTACTAGAAGTCTCTGTTTCTTTGGTGGGAGGGGAGGTGGGAGGAATGATGCACAAGGCTGTGGTCCTGGGCCTAACCCTGACTTGCGCCTTGAGCCCCCTTTGCCAATAGTCCCTTGAGAAGAAGGAAGCTTTGTCTTACTGCCTGCCAGGTGGCCTGTGGTGCTTTTTGACAGTGTTGGCGGTGGGGGGGGGTGGAGGGTTCCCTGGGTCTCTGTTACTCAAAACGTGTGCTGTCTCTCTCCTGGCCAGGTGGCTGCCAGCTGTTTGCAGAGCAGCCGAAGAGCCACGTGAGGAGTTTGCACACCGAGTTCAGCAGGTAGGGGAGCAGCTTTTCTTAGGCAGGAGGCTCCTTTGGCAGTTCTCTAGGCTGGCCGCAAGCGGCAGGGTTGGGCTGGTCTCCAGTACAGGTGCTAGTCACTGATGGGCAGGGTGTGCCACTTGATGTCTTTAAGTGGCAGAGTCTGATTTGAGGTTTGGTAGCTTCCAGACTCAGACAGTCTCTCCTGTTCCTCCCCCTGCCAGCTCTTGGCCACAGAACTGGGCATGGCGTCCACTCGACTCACTGCTGCTGACAAGGCGGAGCACCTGAAGCGACTGCGCCACAGTTCCTCTGTCTCCTATAGTCTTCCAGGTGGGTAGGTGGGGATTGCTCTGCTTTTACCAAAAAAAACGCTTGTCCCAACAAATGTTTGCAAACCCAACTGTTTCCTTGTCTGCTATCTTCCCGCCTCCGGCCTAGCCCCTACCTGGAGGTTTTTAGCTGTTTCGGTGCATGGCTTGGGGGAGGGAAGGTGACCGATATGGCATTCAGCCCAGTTCCCTTGGTAGGCATGGACTGGGGTGAGTGAGCCCAAGGTGGTGGGTTTGTGAGATGCTGGAAAGGGGAATGAGCTCCAGCTTCCCATGCTGAATCTCTCCCCCTCTTCCTCCTCCTCCTGTTTCTCTTAGCTCCAACTAATTCTGTGGAAGGCCGGTCTCACGCCCCGCACAGTGCAGCCCCTGTGGAGGAGGGGCACTTGGCGGGCGTGGCCCAGCGCGTCCAGGAAGTCCTGCCCCATGTGCCCCTGGCTGTTATCCACAGAGACCTTGGTGAGTGGGTGTTGGGGGAGCTGTGCTGGCTTCTGTTCCTACCTCCCCTGGTGAGTGATGGCTTCTGGGCTTCAGCATGACATCCCAGGAAGGGTAGCAGAATGGCAGGGGAGGAGTGAAAAGAAAAGGGAAAGACCAGGACACAGAGCACAGCTCAGGGTGTGGGCTGTGGCTGCTGCACTGGCCTCTGGGCAGACTTCTTAGGCCAGACTCCATCCAGGCCCCCAGAGGCTGGCCAGTGGGGTAGCCTAGCCATGGTGAGAAACAGCCCTTTCCCCTCCCAACCACAGCCGTTAGAACTCACTGCAAATGTGTATGTGTGCGTTTCTCTCAGTGTGAGGGTGTTCAGGGTGGCAGATGCTTGCCTGCTCTGCAAGTTACACATTATCCAGGAATGTTTTTGAAAAATTGTAGAGTCTTGTTAGCTGTCACAGAGAGTAACTTGTGGGTGGGTGGTTCTCATGATCCTTGGATTACTGTTGTGCAACTCGGAGATTGTCTGGTTGAAAACAAGTTCTTCTTTGGGCTCAAGAGGAAGCAAAGGTGGGTCCCCTGGGCTGTTGGATTTTGACCAGTATTCCCTATGGGAGTAAAAAAGTTGGTCTAGTAAAGGTTTTTTATGTGATGAATCATTGTCAATGAACTTCTGGCTTGAAAAAGACTGAGTAAAATGGTTGTTGATATTTTAAAAGTGTCTATTTTTCCATTTTGTTGTCACAATTCAGTGTGTTCAGTCACTGAATGGTAGTTTTGCGGTTGGTGCTGGAGACCTGGGTGTGTGTATAGAAAAAGTGTTTGTATCATTACAGCGGACTGGCCAAATGGCCGAGGGGAATCTACTCACTGGGGTTGGTTGCAAGAAAGTTTGTGGGTGTGCTTGTTTTTGGTCCTGAGGGCTTTTATTCCTCTTAGCCCAGACAAACTGTGTGGACGCCACCATTGCCAACCTGCTTGAGGGCCGGGTTCCCTTCTTACCCAGTGAGGGGGAAACAGAAGCTTGCTCCATCGCGCCATCTGGCTCCGGTGCTCCTGCTGCTGCCTCAACCCCAGCCACGGTATCTACCAATGTGGAAACAAGAGCGGGGGGGGCGGGGGGAAGGGATTTGAGGGCATGTGTTCCTTGCTGAGACCATGGCAAGGTGGAGGGTCTGCCCATGGGCAGATGGGTCCATGCAGCCGAGTTCCACTGGGGGGGTTACTCTCACCCCCTCCTCTTTCCATAGGCACGTGTGAAGGTCTTTGCTCGGTCCCCAGAGGCACGGCACCTCTCCCTGCAAGAGCGGAAGCGGGCGCTCTATGACTATGCCCGGAGGTGAGGTGCCGATCCTTTTCTACCTGGGGTGGGGCATGTCTCAGGTGGTGAGGCTCCCCTCTGCTTCAGCTGATCCCATTGCACCTCAAAGACTGCTGTGTTTCTTTTGCCCTCCCAGGAAATACACTGAGAAATATGGAGTGGCGCTGAGAGAAGGGAACCACTGAGCCACCCTTGGACGAGGTTTTTCCTGGACTGGTGGATTGACCCGCCTCGCACCTTTGCACGGATGGCAGCTGTCCCAGAATTCTGGCGTCTCACCTTGTGGAAGCCTCGAAGCAGCCAGAGTCTTCGCTGCACACCAAAGGACATGAAGCTTGCCCCCAGAAATGGGGGCCTGCCCTGCCTGCCTGCTTCCCTGATCACCAGGCCTGGACTGAGTCACGCCCTGCAGCAGGGCTGGGGCCAGGAAACTGCCTCAGGAGGGGGCTAGAAGGGCAGGGGGACTTTCACTGTCAAAATAAACGTTACCCAAATTCTCATCATTGGCTCAGAGGCTGCTTGGTCCCCTGCCAAGGAGTCCTGCTAAGGGCCCCTGATTTGTCCGGGTGGGGTGTAGAGGTTCTTGAAGCAGTTCTGGTTCTGCAACTGGGAAAAGGTTAGAACTCTTGCTGACTGGAGGGGTTCAGACCAGGTGTGTGTGATGGGGGCGGGGGACCCAGGACAGTTCTGTTGGGCTCCTACAAAGAGGGTGTTTGATCCTTGTGAGGAAATAGATCCTTGGATAGGTCATCTGGGGGAAACTCTGTTACTTTCCAACCACCTGGCCTGGGGTCAGATCCTTGGGCGTGAAGAGAGCCCTTTTTTGCACCTGGTAATCGATCTGCTCCTTTACGCCTGGTTTGGGATCAAGCAGAGCCATGCTGGGGGTCCAGTGCAGGGGTTTGGAGTTAGTATTTGGGAGCTGGGCTGCCTTTCTTGAGCCCACGGCCATGGTTCCTGCGGGGGGGAGGGAGGGGGCATTTCTAGTCGTCTTTCCTGAAGTCTGGGATGCATGCCATTTTCTGCTTTCTCTTCCTTAGCATACCACATCCAAAAGAGCATGGCCACTTCCACCTAGAGTTCCCACGTTTTCCACCTCCTTGGACCCAATTCCATTTCTTTGTAGTCTCGCTGCCCTTTCGGCTCTGTAGAGACGGACGGTCTCCCAAAGAACCACAATGCACAAAAGGTGCTCTGGCAGCTTCCTTTTAAAGACATTAACAGGAAGTAGGCTGGGTCTAGGCCTTGGCCGCCTCTGAGACAAGGCCCTGGTCCAGGTGAAGGAAATGTAGTTGTGGGCCTCTGGACTGGTTCTCCGGAATTCTGCCTGTGAAATTGTTGGAGAACTCTGGGATTTGGAGTCGAACGAATCTGAATGCCGCATCCTGAGTTGTCACATGAAAGCTCCAGCTCCAGAGAGAAGGACCCTAACTAAGCTGCCTAGAGTGGTCGAAATGACTAGATAGGCGGGGTATAAATACAATAAATAAATAAATAAACTGCTGCATTCAAATTACTGGGAGGCCTGTCCCTCGGGTGAGATTCTGAAACAGACTAGATGGCCTGGCGTGCTCTGGTCCGTGGAGTCATGAAGATTTGGACACGAATGGAAGGCCTGCCCTCCCAGCGAGGGGCCCCAAAACATCTCCGTGATCACGGGTAGAGGGTGGTATGGCATTGGCGCCGTCCCTACTCGTGTCAGAAGAGCGGCGAACAGATGGTTAACCCCCAGTACTGAGGTAGTCAGACCAGTCAGCCCTCCACTCTACGCCTGGTGTTGTTGAATGCCAGGTCTGTATCTAACAAGGCCCAGCTAATTTACGACCTCATTCTGGAGGAAGATGCAGACCTGGCCTGCATAACCGAAACATGGATTGGCGGAGAGGGGGGTCCCCCCCTCGCTCTCATTTGTCCGCCCGGTTATGCTGTCCAACACCAGGGTAGACTGGAGGGATGGGGGGGAGTAGCCATTGTCTATAAATCCAGCTTGGAGGTTACCAGGCACTCCTCGGTGATAAGGCCGGGTCTAGAGGCACTCCACATGCCGATAGGGGCCAGGGATGGAATTGGGATTT